CACATCACATTACAAACAACTAGTAGCTTAAAGTAAAACATTAATTTCAAGTAGTTGTAAATTGAAACCCAAATTATAATTCTAAGAGCTGTTCTGAGTTAAAAAGTTAACTGATACACAGTCTCATTGGCTGCTTATTAATTAGTAACACCTTTGCAATAACATAAAACACCAAACATTTGTGTTTAGTATCCCTTTGGGAGACAGTGGCTACAACTGCAATTAATAGCAAAATGGCAAGAAGACAACTGAATGAGTCAGTCAAAAAAATATGACATTTAATAAAAAGAAAATGTCTGTGCATAAGATATGTGCTGATATGTTAAACATTGCTTGTCAATGTATTTCTGTTATGAAACCAATAAATTTGCAATATTTTAACAGAATTAAGCCTGCATCCCAAGACTTTCTGTGAGCACTGGACATAAAAGTGAACATATACTGCTGTCAATTGATTGTGTATGGATTTAATACACACAGCCAAACACTGTTTTAAGTGCATTGTTCTGTAATATCAGGTCTTGCCTGTGCTTTGCAGGATGTGGAATGTGGGAGGTATGAGAGGATGGGGGCGTTTGGAGGGGGGGGGGGGTCAAGAGTGGGTAATGTGGAATGGGGGTTGTGGTGCATCATGGGACTGATACTGGAGAAGCTTGTGACCGTGCCGCCAGCTGCAGTGGGTGAATAGTGTGTGTTTCAGTGCGGGGGCGTTGGTGTGGAGTGTCTTGCTGTCTCCAGGTTTAAATGCCACAACGTGCTGCATGGGAGGGGCGGGGCTGCGGCGGAGACGGCAGCGTCGCTGAAGCCGGCTGGCCGAGGCGGGGAGGTCATCTTTCTAAACATAACGCTGCTCCCAGGCAACAGCTGCAAACACACAGATGCAGATTCCTAAGCGGAAAGGTGCCACGTGGGGGAGCGAGGCAGTGGGTGGCCGCAGGAGCGGGCTGGGGGGGGCGTGAATGTAGTGTGCGAGGCCCATGAGCATTTCTGGGAAGGCTAACCTTTCTCGGAGCCCAGAAATAGATCGTCCATGACTCTATTAATGAGCCATTGCCTGAACACAGATTTTCAACATGAATTCAATGCAGAGTGAATGGAAACCCATCCAGATACATACAAAAAACAAAACAGGAAATTAATAGTTAATAGCCACCTTCTGAAAAGCCAGTACATGACTGATCTCCCAGTGAAAGCGGCTCTTTGTTCATTTTCAGACTTGTGGTTCCTGGGACCAGCAGATCCTCTCTACACCATCTCCTTCTTCAGGAAGAATCACTTGGACCCACATGCTTGAGGTCCTGGTAGCAGGACAAAGCGTGGAAGCGGCAACAAGAAGCCTCTTCATGGGACACTGTGTGGCATCTTCTTCACTGTGATGTTGCAAGGACACCACAGACATCTTCTTGATTGGGAAATCCCCACCAAGAGAACTATTCCAGACCGTCCCATAAGAAACGTGATAACTTCCCATGTTACATTTAGCTGCTCCCTTTATGAATTTATCCAAAGTCCCTTAATTTAATTCCTATTTCTATTGTTAAATGTAATACTGATACAGTTGTTGTTAAATATCTTTCCCAAGAGTATAAGACCAGGCTCCAACTAGGACTCAAGTCTGTGTCTTTATTTGAGGGTCATGTTTGTGTCTGTTCCGCTCTTTAAACATACAGGCATTTACTGTCTGAATCTAAATCAAACTTATCTAGTTATATACCCTCAAGGGCTGGTGTGTGCTATCAAATAAAGCCAGGGAAAGGGGCCCAGATTTAGTCCTCAAGGACACATTTTAATTAGTCTCTGACAGGTACCTGGACTTACCATCCAAATAATTACTTTCCCAAAGAGATGAAAGCAGGCACAGAACGTGCCGCCCAGCGCCTGAAGGAGAAAGGGGCGGCTGTCGGTTGATGTTCGGCTCCGCCGCGTGGCTGAAGGTCAGGACGTGAAATAAAAGGACAGTCAGAAACCACAGATGGCCTCTGGGTGTCACTGTAGCACAATATATCACGTCAATCTCGCTAAATTGCCTAAGGCAATATCGTGATGGTTTCTCAAGTTTCTATGCCTTTGGTGCAGGATATTAAAAAGAAAGAAATAACGTTTGAGGAGCTGTAAGGGCCAGAACATCCCGTGTACAGCTTTTCCTAAAAAGGCAGTGTTCAGCCATTTTCCCACATATCATTCTTTTTCCTGCTCCAGGCAACCAAGTTCAGAGATAAAGGGAGTGAAGGAGCGACATGATGAGATGATGGGAATAAGAGGAGCAACAGCTCACCAAGAGAGAGTGAGTGACAGAAGGAAAAGAGAGAGAAAATGCTGCCTGCCTTCCCAGGATATACTGTATCTGTACCTAAATGCACTGGTTATTCAAAAGGCTCCCAGTTACACCTCTATCCTGTCATTGGTTTACATGTACAGGCACCAGCAAACATGTGATCACTGCAAGCTGGAACCAGGATATAGTCAAACATTGTCCTGTTCAGGGCCATGTGGGTCTGGAGCCCATCGCAGAAGCTATGGGCGCAAGGCGGGGAACAACCCAGAATGGGGTCCAAACTCATTGCAGGGCACAGTCACACACCAGTCACGCCTATAGACAATCTGGTAACCCCAATTAACCTCGTGTTTTTGGACTGTGGGGGGAATCCGGGGTACATAGAGGAAACCCCATGACAACATGGGGAGAACATGCAAACTCCACACATATGGAGCCAGGGTGGAGACTCGAGCCCTGGTCCCAGAGGTGTGAGGGAACAGTGCTGACCACAGCGCCACCATACTGCCCTGCAAAACACTGCACAAGTATCTGGAGTCCTGCTGGAGGGCAGGGAGCAGTGGTGGCTCTAGACAATTTCAACTGGAGGGTCAGACTGGGGCCAGTTGTTCTGTTAGGGGGGTCAGATGCATTTGACCTTATTGCCCTCCCAGTATTATTTACAATAGATTACCAGCATTTAGAATCAAAAGACAATTTCGTAAAATGATAAGTTATTTATGCAGTGCTTTGCAGTTACATTTTACAGTTTTTACAAATATGAAACTCACTCTGTTTTCCTGTTTAGTTTGTCTTCCTTCCGCGGGCTTGATTTTTTTTTCCGTCGTTAACCTCGCTTTTCACCATCTGAAGCGGCTCCACCACCCGGCGCAGCCGCATTAAGAGTCTGTAAAGAAAATGTGCTTACATTTGCATTTTGCCTGTTCCCAGCGCACTAAATTTTAGCCTTCGTATATACATGTAAATAATAATAATATAATATTTGTAATACATTTATCTGCGACGGGTTGGCGCCCCATCCTGGGTTGTTCCCTGCCTTGTTCCTGAACCCCCCCCCCCCCCCCTCCGACCCTGAATAGGACACACGGTTACAGAAAATGAAGGGATGGATAATAAATTAATTTCAGACCCAAATAGCATACATATTTAGGGGGGGCACATCCAAGTTGTCATGCCCCCCCCAGAACCACCGCCAGCAGGGAGACTATTCCATGTTAAAGGCTGCCTTTCTGGTCAGCAACCAATCGAACCCTTTGAATGGGATGCGTCACTCCATTCAGGACAGAATAGCTTCGACAAACAATGAATCCATCACTCAGAAAGACTTTGTACTGTACTTGTCTTACATTTTATTTCAACATCTATACATTTTCGGTGTAATAAGAGTTTGTGCTCTGCAGCTTGGTCAAAGTACGCCTCCCTGTGCAGGACTTCGGTCACGTCCAAGGAGCCGACTGAACTGCCGCCAGCTGACTTACCTTCCACATAACTGCGCACTGGATAAGTGACTGGGAGATAGATGGGTGATTTGGCTGCATGCCTATTTTGCTTTGCATCTTGAGCCAATGCATGGACATCAGTTCTGAAGTTTTTGGATCCTCAGTTGGCCCTAGTTACTGCTGTCTGTCCCTCAGTGTCAACATCAGTTTTCCGCAGTCAAACAGTCTTCAGTTTATACCCAACAGATTTGGGTATAAACATTATGAACATGTCCCTACCAATATTGCGGGAGTCCCGTGTGCTTAGGGGGCCTGTGCTCCCTTCGCCCTTGATGGTATGAATGCCTAGAGAATCACCTCTCTGAAAATCACAGAGATCTTCCAGCAATGACAGTCAATATAAATGGTAGCTAAGACTGCATGGTATTTGTTATTGTAATTTGTTATTACATACATGTTGGAAAGTCCATCCATCCATCCATCCTTCCATCTTGTAAGTTTCCTAGTTCACCAAAATTCATTGTTGGGGGATCCTGTCCCTGTTCCGCAAAAGATACCATGATCCCATTGGCCAATTTTTAATCCCAGTACAGCTCTGCTCATAGCTATGGGATTAATGAGTTTGTTTGCTTTTTACAGCAGGTGGAGTAGTAATGTCATACGGCACAAGGCATCGCAGCGGGCAAACAGCACCGACCAGAGAAGGCTGACGCCTGCCTGTCCTGTTCTGCATTGCAGCCAGACAACCTGTTGATGCCAGCTGCATCTGTGAATCATGCAGCAGACGTCAGTCTAAACGACAAAACGCTATATTTATTGCCTGCGTGTATTAACAATCGTCTTCATGCAGACAAACACGGTGTCTCTTGTCAGTTCCCGGTCTATGAAAAGGCCTGTCGCGGTCGGGAATCGCCCATGTGTTTGTTAGGAATTGCATAAGATTACCGTCAGCTGCACCTGGCGATGCACACCACTTAGATTTTAATTATGTCAATATCCAGTCCCGGTTGGCGCGGTTCCTCGCCAGCGTGGCTGCACACATTCACGCGAATTTGTTTGATTGATGGAAGCTTTGCGAAAGATCAACGCAACGAACCGACAGCTTCCGTCCGGCTTATTTGTTAATCATGCATTATTTTCCGCCTATTGTTAGGCTACTGATTTGTTTTACTACAGAAACAATGGAAACATTTGTTTCCTGGTCTTGTCGCTGTGACGTCAATGTGGGTCTCCGCCACACGGCGTCGGTGACAGAAACGCCGAAACGGTGCGATACTTCAGCTCCCGATCCGTATCTGCGATCACCGTGTGCCGGGTTTTGCGCGTCTCTCTGTGCGTTTTACGCCCATTCTGCCAAACACACACACACACACACACACACACCGATAGCGCAGTTTTGCCGAGGCTATACAGATCCATGCCAACATGCAGTAGTATACTCCTCTGCGGCCAATAAAATATTATGAAGGTTTAATAATAATACAAACCAAGGCGTCTCCTGGCCCTGGCATTCTGGGTTATACCATGAGGCGCCCGCGGCTGTGGACCCTTCTGTGTTTGATGACCATCTGCTACCAGCTTGGGATGTCAAGCAGATACGGTAAGAGAAGAAGCAGCTACGGTCGGGGAAACGCCGAAGGATTATACCGCAGAATTAGAATAATGAGGTGGCATCAAAGACGAGAAAGTGAGCTGCCTTAGCTATTTATTGGGGAAAATGCTACTTAACACACATGAAAGAAATATTAAGATCAATATACTGACTAGAGGTTTACGCTGGACGTTGCATAATTAATTAACATAAATGAACGGAGAAGTAAAGTAAGAAAGACGTTCACATAGTTTCACACCGGCGTTTGATTTCATATTAGTTTGAAGACGGTGAATACGCTGGGAATACGTTTTGCGCTTTGCATATTTTTGCATAAATTACTCAACTTCTGAGTCCTGGAGCTATGCAAATGGACATGATCACAGTACTTGCGGTTTATATCAAATATTACTGACGTTTGGTATTACGGTGTAAACATGCAATGTGTTACGCCGTGTAATTTATTCATACATGGCGTGATGAAAGCTATGGATGGTGGTTAGTGGGATCTAGGTTTTGGGAAATTCGCAAAATTATGACTACTAAACTTTTGAATACAGTACAATTTAGCCATTATTAAATATTGACTGGGAAAGTGCAAACCATTACTGAAAGGAATGAACCCAAATTGTATGTGCTATTATAGCTTTCTTAAAAAAGAGGTATATGGATGTTTCCCGTGGGCATAGTACTGGAGTATGCCTGTCAATAATTATGGCTACACATACATGTGAGTTTAGTGGCGGAAAAACAAAGTGACTAATTATACTTCACAGTGCGAAAGGATAGCAGTACACACTTTACCTTACACCGGTCGGCATGTCCGTGTGTGCGTGTGTTTTAAGTGTGCTTTCAAGGTTGCGAGTCACAGGTAAATGTTTGATTTCTTAGCTGATGAAGGTTACCATGGCTACCAAGTACAATAATCGGCTCGCGAGCCTGACGTGCATTTGTGATTTCACCATAAGCTCACTCTCTTCTTGAACTTTACTCAATTTGGCTGGTCTTCGCCATGACATAAATCAAAACGACATGGACGTTAATCAACGTTTGAAAGGGGGTAGTATAATTATAAATATCTATAGGTCTTGCCCTTGAAATACGGAAAATAATGGTGCATTTTCCCCGTGTTTAGGCGCTCTCACTGCAAATGGCTCTCCGCTGTCCCTGTGCAGTACACAATGCAGTAATTGATTTAATTTAATATTATTGCAACTCTCCAGAAGTCGCCAGTGCTTTGTGGTGAAATAGTGGCGACAGCAGGATTAGCAGCCCTATTACTGCGTTATTGACAGTAATGAGGACGCAAGATGCAGCTGTTTTCATTCACTTGCCTTTACATGAGGCACGACGTACGCTCCGGTTTCTCGGCCTGCCGGTTATTAGGGAGCCGCGGCTCCGGCAGACTTTCCCTATAGCGTGCACACGTATTCCGAAATTGTATTTAATGATCGTTCTAAGTGGAGCATTTTACGGCAGTTTGCCACTATGTAAATGTCGAGGCTGTTGACAAATCGTTGTGTCGTTTGCTATAAGTGCCTCGGCGTACTTAAAAAGTATCTAAAAGAGCTGCCCGTTATGTGTTTCAGAACCACGGAGAGCGACCTCCGATGCTCCGAAATCTCTACCACGCCGGGATTTCTCCTCACTTTTCCAATTCGGAGAACCCAAGTGTCGGTACATTTTTATTGTGTAGCTCAGCCCTAACACCTTATTACTCGAGTAGCGGTTTTATCCGGTGCCCTTGCCGAGGTTTATAAAGAGCTCTTTAAAAAGCCCTTTCGTTCTCCAGAGCTGGGGCTGAAAAAATACCTCTACGTGTCCCTCTCTGCTGCTTTGACAGACAGTACAGACCAACCCCGATGCTGCAGAGTGCCTCCTGCAGGACGAGAACCGCGTAGAGCTTCACCAACTTCTCTCTGAATTCTGATAGGAATCCTCTTGCTGTCCAAAGAAATGCAGTTAGCCTAAATTTTCCAAACCGTGTGTGGTGTATTTGATGAGCTGCCTGGGATAGACCACAGGCGCCCCCATGAAACATAAGTGTTTGGAAGACCATATATTCATAATAGTTTTGCTCTGCTTAATTGATGCTTTGATCGAGGGTACAGTGTTTATATTTTTTTTTATTTAGCAGACAATAGACAAGTGAGAAAACAGGGTCAGTTCCAGTCCCTGAAATATTCAGAGTAAAGGGCCCAATAGTGGAGTCACCAGCCGCAGGGTTTGAACCGGCAACCTTCCGATCACAGGCACAGAGTCCTGCCCTACAGAGTCGCACACCTGCCTGTCGAGTCGACATCCTCCATGTCGCAGGCCCTTCTGGTGCCCTAGAGACAGAATGCTTGACCTTTTCCTGGAAGGGTGCTTCTGCTGATTAATAATTATTAAAGGCTCAAATCAAGCTAAAGCGTATGTGACAGTCTGTAAAAACTCTGGATGCTGGTGACAACACACAGCACAAGCAATGGGGGAGGGACGACTTGCAAAAAGCGATTTTTCTTCATGCTTTGATCCGCGGCTGTAGAAATGTGAGGAGCGGGTGGCGGGGGCCGTCGGTCATGCGCTGCGTCCTGCTTTTATGCTCAGACTGAAAATAAACCTGAGAAAGAGCTTCAGCTGATGTTACCGGTCGAGTGGCTGTAATTCCTGCAGGAGGCTGAAGGGCACGTCTGGAAATAATGTTAGCAACGTTTATAGCATGACTCCATGTGTTTAACAGATGCAGGTACATAACTGGGTCTGTTTAAATAATACGGAACACATGAAAAGTTATCTTTGCCTTTAAAGGCAAAATTGCATGTACATAAGCATATTCATATTTGAATATCCTCCTGAGACCCCACCCATTCATTTATGTCCATTGTAGTGGACATTTTGTTTTTGCATCTATCTTTTCACTGATGTAAGGAAACATATTTATTCCTGTTGCACACTAAAGAGGACATGCTATGAAATTAAAAATAAAAATTAATTTGAAAAAATCTAAATTGTAAGATGTCTTATTTCCTCCAAAGACAAATAACCTACAATTGAAGGACAGTTTTTTTCCTTGGGTCTCAGGAGGTTAAATAATGTATAAACATACATTTCATATGTGTACATTTATGTGTAAAACATGGGACAACACAAAGTCTGCACTTCCTGCCTTATGCGCCCTGGAATGGAATACAGCCCCTTACTGCACCCCCACGACCATGATCCAGGTTACTGGATGGATGGATGGATGGATGTTGGCTGTATCATGCTTTCTAAACTTTTGGCTGCAAATTGCCTGTTGTTGCCTTTTTGTTAGCCCGCAAACAGTATCAAATGCCACCCCCCTTTTCTTATATTAGCAAAGACTCACACCCACTTATGCTTGAAGAGAATAACTTGGTTTTAATCCTGCTTTTGCTTCATATGTGTAAAATTATTCCTAATCTGGGAACAGGAATGTAAGTGCCCTGCTGTAGATATGGAGTCACCACATGGATCACCTGTTTACACAAACTCCCCAAGCCCACCTGTGTGAGAAATTCATGAGCATAAATGCCCCCCGACTCAGGAGATGCCTGAGTCACTGCTGACGTCCCTGTCACACATCTGCTAGCTGCCGCTTCTGGGGGTCTGGAAGTCGACGGGTCCTGTGACTTTGGGGGGCCGCCAGAGCAGGGGGTGGGTGTTCCGGGGGAGCGTCGATTTCCTGGTGCAGTGGCATTTTCATGGCATGTGGGTAGGTGTGCAAATAAAAGCACGAAATATATAAATATTTTCACATCTGCTTGTATCTTGTCTGGGGTGTGACCCTGTTTCACGCCCTGGAATGGGCTGTGTCTCACCCTATACTTCCTGGGACTGGCTGTCCACTGCTCTTTACTTCCTGGGACTGGCTGTCCACTGCTCTTTACTTCCTGGGATAGGCTGTCTGCTGCTCTGTACTTCCTGTGAAAGGCTGTCTGTTGCTCTGTACTTCCTGTGAAAGGCTGTCTGTTGCTCTGTACTTCGTGGGACTGGCTGTCTCACACCCTACACTTCCTGGGATAGGCTGTCCACTGCTCTTTACTTCCTGGGATAGGCTGTCCACTGCTCTTTACTTCCTGGGACAGGTTGTCTGCTGCTCTGTACTTCCTGTGAAAGGCTGTCTGCTGCTCTGTACTTCCTGGGATAGGCTGTCTGCTGCTCTGTACTTCCTGGGACTGGCTGTCTCACACCCTACACTTCCTGGGACAGGCTGTCGGCTGCTCTTTACTTCCTGGGATAGGCTGTCCACTGCTCTTTACTTCCTGGGATAGGCTGTCCACTGCTCTTTACGTCCTGGGACAGGCTGTCTGCTGCTCTGTACTTCCTGGGACAGGTTGTCGGCTGCTCTGTACTTCCTGGGACTGGCTGTCTCATGCCCTGCACTTCCTGCAATAATCTCCCAGGTATATGCTATACTGGATAAGACAATATAGAAGATGGCTGGATGGATGGATGGAAGGTGACAGTTTTATGCGGGATATGTTTTGTTCCTCCTCCCCCACCTTCCATGCATCAGCGGCTACTCATGGCTACTTTCTGGTTAAATATCCTGAATTCAGGTTCACGTTTCTGCTCTAATAAGCAGCACACAGCTTGAGTCCACAGTGTGAGTGTCCTGGGTCCCCAGTGGTCACAGCTCCAGCCCCCAGCTGTGGTGCACGAGGGCCCTAGAACATGCTGGCTTTCCCCCCCGCCTCCACCCTCAGTTACCTGGATGGTGAATCCCCCCTCCTGGTCTTTCAGGTGTTAATCAGGTGCTAAAGAAAGTCTCTCCTGCCAAACCTGCAGTCTGCCTGTGAAGGACACCCCCCCCCCCCCCACCCAGCAGTGCTGGAACAAGCTCCGGGGGCCTCCGGGGTTCCCTGATGTTCCCCTTCCCAGTATATGTAATGCATAGACAAATATGTTCATCAAATAAATAACTGTGAATATGACCAGTTAGTAACGCAACCCTACACCTGCATGGTTGTGCATTTGAATCGCAGGGGTTCTTCCTGTGTTTAAATGATCCTGCATGATCTTCCTCCATTGTGGGAACCAACCTCCTCTCTGGTGTGTTCTGAGCCACGACTAGACAATCAGTTATAGGGACGGGTGGATGAACACGAGGATAATCTGAACTGATGGGTGTGGAGAAGCAGGTTCGGGGTGATTGGTGAACGCGTGGGCCTGGATTTTCAGAAGCTCTCAGCATGATCCTGTGGTGCTCCCCGGGTTCTCCATCCATCTCGTACCTCTGTGCAAGCCTTAGATCTGTGTCTTTAGACGCTGTACACCCGGAGCGGCCCGGAGGCCTGGATTCACGTCGGGGGTGCTTGTGACAGTGTGCAGGAAGCTGGTAAGCGCTAGAGCCCCCCCCCCCAGGCAGGCTCCTCCAGATGCTCCAGATGAGTCACCCGCAGCCGGTTGCTAGGTAGCCTGTGATTGTCTGTCTCCGCCGTTCTAAGTGCAGTTAAGGTGACTGCGCGGGCAGCCAGTCAGCCCAGCAGGACCCGAATGCCCAGGCCTTTAGAACCTGAGCGCCAGGGTGTGCAGGCAGAAAAAGACCACAGAAACTGAGCTGCAGTCGCGATTAACACCCCGTCAGCTTTCATTACAGCTGCCGAGATTGGAGATCATCTTCTGTCCCTCGCGGGGCTGAAGAACATTCTGAATATGAAACCTCCTCATTAGTCTGCCATTAAACGCCCTGATGGGGGCACAAGCCCAAAGCCACTGGTCATGTTCTTTTCAGCTGAAAAAGATTTTTTTATTTTATCTGTGACTCACCAGTGCTGCTGAGTTTTCTGTGAGCCTGTGGTCGGCAATCAGTGAAGTAGATCTCCATCGTTTGTGAATTAAACACAACCGCCTGTAGCTTCAACTGGCAACTGTGTGTTTTTTTTTTTTGTTTTAATCACATCTGTGTTTGCTCTCCTGGGCTCCACCGACAGGCGGGCTTGGGTGGGGCGGGGCTGGTGTTTCCCCCCCGCACCGTGACAGTGACGTGGGCCAGACTTGCCTGACCTTCTGTGTTTGAGCAGCTGTGTGGGAACCAGGATGCAACCCCCCCCCCCCCCCCCCCGTCTGGCTTTGAACTGGACCAAAAAACACCAAAACTTGCCATCATCTCACTTTCGGTAAAACGTCTCACGATGGGTTGGGGGTAAAAGTCAACTTTAGCCTGGTGGAGAGGGTGGGCTTTCCATGCATCTTTATCAGTCTGGAAGAGCAACATGGGTGTAAAGAAAGATCCTGAAAAATGATGTCAAATTGTCAAGTTGAGCTCCGAGAGCACATGTTCCAGTCTAACCAGTGGCAGGTGTTCTGGCTGGAGTTTTACCATAAGAGAGATGGACACACGCCTTTCTTCAGGAGAGCAGACCATTTACCCGCGGTGAAGCACATAGTCCTTTCTGACAGACACCAGCACCTCCCAGAAGGCCGTGCAGTGGGCGGTGCAGAGCTGTGCTGTGTTTACCGATACCACACTGCCAGGCTGATCCTTCCCCTCCGTGTAATTCCCTCTCTCTCTCTCTCTCTCCGCCTGTCTCTCTCTCTCCCTCTGTCTCCCAACCTCAGGTTGTCTGTTTGAGAGGAAGTTGTGTCCCAGAGGTCAGCGGTGTCTGGATGGTAAGTGCGTGTTTAGCCAAGGCTGCCGTCACGCTGTGATCTTGTCAAAGACCTCCCGCTCGCAGACATGCGTGCCCCCCCCCCTCGCCCTCTTTGGCATCATGTGACACCCCCCTGCCCCCCCCCCACACCCGACATATGATTAGTAGTCAGCTTCCGTTCACATTATTCTCAGTCAATCTCCTTTCATCATGATTCTTAATTCATGCCTGGTCCCCAAAGGCACTCAGCGTTAGGTTATTATTTAAGCTTTTAATGAATATTCAAATGAGATATTCTGACACTTTAACTGATCCTGCAAGCTAAGTCCAAATGCATAGATATCCCATAAACCTTTGCGGCTTTACGCAGGCTATCCGTGCCATGCCATCTCCACCCCATCTCTACATCCAAGAAGAAGCCCCTGTAACCCCTTAAAGTTCTAAGAAAGTATGTCTATCAAACGAATGCAGTGTTTATGGTGCTGTCCTGGAGCAGACCAGGGTTTGCTGTTATGGTATGACTGTCTGTCCCATATACTCGCCTCCCCTCACGTGAACAGTGCTGCTATAGCCAGACCACATCTGCATGAGTGGTACCAGCACCAACACGCAGGCTAGTGCATTGGCATAGGAAAGAATTTGATATTAGGGGCCACGATTACGTAATATAAATGTAAATCCGCCAGACGGCCCCAGTTCCTACGCCCCTGGGCCAGTGTGTAAATGAAAATCTGTGGTGAAATTTCAGCCAGTTTGATCTGACAGCCCTTGGTAACATCTAAAAAAATCCAGTCAGGTGATATTTTAAACTGGAGGAATCTGGCAGCAGGTTTTAAAATGCTTCGGCAGAAACACAGGAAGAGTCTCAAATTAATGCCCATCACGCATCATCAGCCTGTGTGCTCATACCCTCCTTCTGGGGAGTGTAAACACAAAACAATGCCTTTCCATGTCACCTGCCACTCTCCTGTAGGCCAATCACAGCGCTTCCCCTGCTGTCTCCCTGGCAACGCTTGCATCATTAGGCAGACAGCGAGCGAAGACACACACTCCCTCACAGCCACTCAGCCCAGAGAGATGACTCACTACCACACAACTCTCTCCCTTTCGGTCTCTCTTCTCTTTCTGCTTCTCTCTTGCACACGCAAACACGGGCCACACATGAGTGTACACGAATGACACGCACATGCGGCCACTTTTGAACAAGCTCCTGCGTTGCTGGTTCTGAAATGCACGTTAGCCAGGATGTGCAGTGAGTTGCTTCCTTAGCTGTAACGCTTCGTATTGTGGGGCGTGGCCGGCAGGGTCGGGGGGGGGGGGGTCACCTCTGACTGGGTCAATTTTGGGTAACAGAGAACAGTGTCGCAGTCTGCTTCTCTAACACCTTTCCCCATTGAAAGAAAGCCCCACGAGGACATTCAGAACAGACCAGTAGCCAGAAATAAAACTCAGTGGGGCCCTGGCAGCCCCCTGGGTACATTTTCGGAGCAGACCGTGTGGGTTCACTTCTGCCCCGCAGTAGATTTTGCTGACCAGGGGAGGGAATTAATTTTGGGGCAGGGGGATCAACTAAAATGATACTACCTGGCTCCATGCCTTGTTGGGAGCAGACACATTTTCATGGGGCGGGGGTCAAACCCCCCAGGCCTCAGATCTCCATAGCCTGCCAGTCTGTGTAAGCATGACACCGTATGGGGGTTAGTGTGATTGTGACCTTTTGGGGGCCTATGGGATGTTACCATGTTGCCGCTGTCTTCCCAAAAGTCCACGCAGCACTAAAACACTGCGAGCGCGTTAAAGGTGTGTGATCTCAGCAGCTCCCCAGCTCTGTGTGTGTGTGTTTCCGCGCCATGTGTTGCAGATGCACTCTTCGGCCAGTGCCAGGACTCCCAACAGCAGCGGGTCCAGTACCAGGTGTCGGTGCCGGTTCTCCAGAAGCTGCAGGAGGTTCAGAAGCAGCTGATGATGCAGGGTGAGCTGCGATGTCGGAAAGTGATGCACCACTTGTACATAACTGTGACCTGGCACTTCTTGTCTAAAGAAGATGAAGCTGCGTTCTTGCTTCTATGTGTGGAGACCAAATGAATTATATGCAAGCTGACTAATCTGATGGTACAGGGAGGACTGACTCCATACAGGCCTCTCCTGTGTGTGTTCTCAGAGCACTTTGTCCATTACATTTCATATTATATTTTTTACATATTCAGCAGCCACTTTTATCTAAAGAAACAAGTGAGGAAAATAGCACATTACAAATATACCCGCTGCCAGGGACTCGACTAGGCATGAGTGCAGCTAGACTGAGCTTCCAGTGAAGGCCCAGTTACCAGTGTAAGCAGTGCTGGAGCAGGAGCTGCACAACTTATAACGAAGCAAGGACCTAATAAGACTATTCAAGCACCAGAAGTGCAATTAAGAACATTCAGGGAATGTAAA